CATCCAATAGCTGAACTAAGAAATATAAGGAAGCTTATATTATTTGCAATCTGAAAACTTACGTATTGTAGATGTTTGCTGTGTGACCAAAGCGAGAAAAAGTTGCTAGATATTCTGGTACAGGATTGTCTAGTGTTTCCCATGTGTCACATTCTTCAAAAAATGAAAAGAAAACACATATTTGAGGTTAAAAAAATACTTAAAAATATTCTTTATGAAGAAAATTAAAAGCTTTTTTGTCTATCACCCTTTGAACCAGAAGTTGGCAGCACATTCTGTGAATCTCTTTCTAGCTGCCCAAGGAAACTAAAGTTATCAAACACAGAATATCTAGAGAGATTCCTAAGTACATAAATAAATAATAAATCTTAATTAAAAAATAAAATATTAACAAGATCTACCTTATCAATGTAATATTTTTCAATAATCTCGAAAATGTTTTCATATTTTCAGTACAGTACTTTTGCAATTTCAAAATAGATAAAAATTTCATGACATACGAACGTCATAAGCTTGAAAGTCTGCAGAGAAACATTTATCTCCTGTACTAAATGATGTATCATTATGAGTGTTTCCCCCAAACACTAGTAACATGCCATCGAGAAAAACTCCACTATGTAAGTACCGGTATGATCCACTTGAAGCAAGTTGTGACCTGTGAAAAAACAATTATGAGCATTCATGATGAAACTTAGCTGAATGGACAGCAACTGCCTGTTGTAGAAACATAAGTGTAGAGGATGACGTTTCAAAAGTCATCGGCCTTTTGAAACATTGTCCTCTACACTTGTGTGTTTCTACAACAGGCAGTTCAACTAAATTTCGTTATATTCAAAGATATTTATAATTTTTATTCCTAGTATTCAGAGGAAAAAAAAAAAACGCAAGATGGTCAAAACAGAAATTGAATACCAAATCTGTGAAGGGGAAAGGCTACAAAAAATTCAAGTCTACCATTACTAATTAAATACTTTGTAATTAAAGTACATTTTACTAACAAAGCTGAACTTTTAAGAAGTCTCTCACCAGGAATGTTCAAAAGGATTGTAGGCATACAACAAGTCAACCACCATTCCTGCTGGACCCTGAGAGTGGTACCCACCATAGACATAAATCAGTTGACCAATTTTATCATATGTACTGGTGTGGCCAAATCCTCCTTTTACAATTGCACCTTTAGCTTTTACTGTTTTCCATGATAATGACACTGTAAGAAAATGCATTATTTGCAAAAATACTAAGAATATGTTGTTGATTATTAGTTAGACACATAAAAACAATAAAATTAAGTATAAACAGATGTATACTGTTATTAACTTTAAGCTATTTAAGATAAACAATTGTAGTTTCCTGTTACGGACTGTAGTCATTCTATAAAGCGAAAAAGGGTAACTTATATTTATTTCTTAAATATATAACCTCCATAGTGTAAAGAATTTTGTATATATGTTCAAGTTGTTTCTAGTATATATATTATTTTAAAAATAAGTGGAGTGCGTGCTGTTAGTTTATTGTCAAATTTATTGCCAACAAGTCACAAACACCTACTGTAAAAGAATCCTTAACCCAACACACCCATATACTTACATTACTATAAATACTACTAAAAAGTAAGTTTCCAACATTTAAGAAACAAGTGGGCATACATGTATAAACAACTCTAAGAACCTTTTTAGTGTGGTAGCTACATTTCAACATAATCATTATTCAACAGTCAATATGAAATTACTAACTGAATGGAAAATAATTTCTTCAAAATAAGACAGACTGTTATAGAAGTACATTGTACATTAAAAGTCAACCAATAAACTATGAAGTACTTTCCAAAGTACCGCACTAGCAAATTACCATATATTATGCTACATTAAAGCTGCAACTTATGGCACATGTTTTAAAATCAGAATTGCAATTATCTACCAGGTAAATTGCATTAGATATTTCAAATACAAAGATTGATAGTAAACTGTATTACAAATATGCAACACACTGAATTACTGTGTAGTGTTTTAAATATTCACAGAAGTAACAACTCGTGGTTTATTTAATGAAAAATCACTGGAAATAAAGCATCATAGTTTATCTTAACAAAGTAAAATTATTTATAAAAAAATTAATTAAAAATCAACAAATACTGATATATCAAAAGATAGTCACAATATTAAGCTGCAATTTTTTCAATACAAACAGTGTTCCACAGTAAAAACTTATACCAACTACACTAATAAAATATTTTGTATTAATCTACTCACAGAAGTTGTATTCCTGCACAGTGTTCAGGTAGCCCAAAACAAGGTTGTAACCAAAAATCACTACCATGAGATCATTTACCAAGGTAGCTGTATGTCCAACAACTGCTAACGGACTACAAAGATGACCAGTACAATTTGGATCTTCTTTATATTTTGTAATTTCTTTCCACACTTGATGGACAGGATCAAATGACCACAAATCATTTAACACATCACCACTTTTCAAACGTCCACCATACATGTAGATAAGGCCCTAATGAAAATTAAAGGATATTACAGAATTTGAGTATTATATAATGTACAACCATGTTAAATAAAATAAAAAAGTGGAATGACATTACTACAATAAAATGTATATCACTACATATAACACCCCAGTGTATATACACAACGCAAATATCTCAGATGATTTACATACTTATATTTTTTTGCCAAGTACCAATGAAGTTTCAACAATCACAGACAATATCAATGAAAAACTTATTATATTTTAAAATATAATGAATAACACCTCAAAATAATTGTGCTATATGGTGGAAAAGTTTAACCCTTGCTAACTAGGGTATGGTTAATATGAAATTAAAGAACAAGTTCAACAATCGCCAAGTTTTTTTTATATTTTTATTTTAAAAGGATGACATTTTGAGTTAGCACTTTTCATCAGATCATACAGCTTACAACAAAAGCACATGCACAGAATTTAAAGAATTACATGCGTCACATTTCGAATGTTAGCATGAAATTTATCTACAAAATTTCATCTTTACATAAATATTACAAGTCATAAAAAATAACAAAATAATTTAAATTTAAACAAAATATGGAAAAAATGAGAATCTATAGGAAAGAAAAGCATTCATTTAAACCGGATGGTTGTCCCCAGATTACGGATTAATATTCTTTCCTAATATAGCATTAAATGAAAGATGGCACTGATACCAGAAAAAAACAAATTCAACCATGAAACAAAAAACATTAAGTTTAGACATTCAAATTAGGTGTGTTTTTGAATTAAAAAGAATAAATCAAACTCTTCTGTATTACACTCACAATTTCTATCTTTCTCAGAATAAACTTTACAAAAACTGGAAATATTACTGACGATTTTTAATAGAAAAATTAAGATGATTATCGATCACATTCTTGTTTTACTTTTCTTTAAAAAAATTAATTTGTTTGTGTTAATTTTAGAGCAAAGTACCATTGGGCTATCTGCTGTATATTTTAATTTTCATGAAAGGTTGTTCACACTTTATAAGAAAGATCTAGACTTACTAGTGGCCACTGTAGAGGCAAACCATGGTAAGTTGAATCATATGTTGAGCAAATATGTATTCAGTTCACCATTAAATGTACAATGCCACTATAGCTAAACTTATGATTGGTTGGAATATGTTACAACTTTCTTAAAAGATTGTTAACTCTCCCAACACAGGCGCAGTCACTTTGACTGACCTTCTAACCACAATAAAATCAGATTTTTTTAATTAAACATTTTCTAAAGATTTGTCCGTGAAGATATGGTGTTGGAGTGTTGACTGACTAGCCTGAGTGCAAGGTGATTTTCTTGTTATGATTAAAAATACTTTTTTTTTATTTTAAAGTCTTCAAATTTCATTTGCCTAACTTCTAGGACCTCCTGAGTGAATATTCACAGTTTTCTTTCAGTAACATTTTATATCTTTATTTTTGCTTTATCATTTTAATTTTATGTGTAATATCTGTTTGTATTTTATTAACTAATAAACTTGTTAAAAGCAATCCACTCCTTGAGATGTAAATTCAAAATACAATACTATGGTAAGTATTTTAATTATTAATTAATTATTCTGTAATTAATCATTAAAATACCACACACACACATATATATATATAAAATCGCTCAGTAATAGTTTTAATATATTTATATTATGTGAAAACTTAAATTTAAAATACACAACTCATCAGAGTATAGAAAAATTATTGTTTTGTTGGCATCTATTTTTGTTTGTTTGTTTGTAATTAAGCACAAAGCTACACAATGGGCTATATGTGCTCTGCCCACCACGAATATCGAAACCCGGATTCTAGCGTTGTAAGTCCGCAGACATACCGCTGGGGGCAGCAACTATTTTTGAGTGATTGAAGAGTGTTAAAATATTACTCTGCATTAAATTATCAAACTGTAAGTCACCTATAAAACAACAAGCTGACAGATAAGATCCACAAGATAATTAACAATCATCATAATATAACTACATAAAAAAATAGTTTTATCCTATTATTAATCATTGGACTTAAAAAATTACCTTAAACACAACTACTGAGTGGCCAAATCGGGCTAATGGCTTTTTCTTACTGGCAGCATCAACAGTTTTCCACATATTCTTATGGAAATTGTATCTAGAAATGACAAGAAAGAAGAAGTCATTAGTTATAAAGATTAACAGCTTTATAAGCACAAATTAAGTAACAAAGAACAAATATAAATTTACAAAATATTATGATGATTACTCTGACTAGTTTCGATGTACTATGTATGTTATTTTCAAAGGTACGTCGAAACTAGTCAGGGTAATCATCTTCATGTTTTGTAAATGTGTGTTTGTTCTTTGTCATTTAATTTGTGCTCATAAAGCTGTTAATCTTTAAAACATTTGTAGATAGCACAAAGTACTACTTAACTTAAGTCAGTTGTTTTTAATTGTTATCACCCTGAAGCACTTATTGATTGAAATACAAAAATGTTAATAGAAAGCCAAATTTTAATATTTATTTTGTATTATTACATATGTAATGTATATTTCATAATAAAAAGATACCATCAGGAAAAAGATATTCCTTAAAGAAATATTAAAACCTGTTACTCATTTACGAAGGAGAAAAATTAAACCATGATGAAGAACTGGCTTTACTCTAATATAATACTCAACAGATTTTTATCTTTCTCTCACACAGTGTATTTCAATTACAATAGACACACTTGACTATGTTTTGGAAGACTGTTGTGTGGAAGTTCTCTCCTTCAATCACCCAAAACTCATCTTCATAGACAACAGACTGGTGCAAAGCTGTGGCCAGAGCAATTCCTGTTGTTTCCACAACTTCCCATCCTCCTTCAGAAGCAGCTAAATTACAATGTACCCCTGCAAACATCAACAAACTACAGTTGAATCATCATCAATTCAGATTATAGTATGAACATACACATGTAAAATCAAATAAATGAGCAAACACAACAAACATAACATGCTTATACGTTTTTATTGAAATGAAGAAAAGTCGCTACAAAGAAGTCATTATCTGATCTTCCACTCAAAAATCAGTCATATGTCGCATCTGTCAGGAAGTCATTTGTGGGAGGTCAGATCCATGTAAGATCCTTTAGTGCACAGAAAAAAAAAATAGTTGTATCTAAAAGGAAGTCATTATTCAGAGAGGTCGTATCCACTACAGACTACTGTGTACAGTAATGAACTAGACACTGGAACATGAACAAACAAGTTATTTTATACAGTAATGAACTAGACACTGGAACTTAAATAAATACATTATTCTATACAGTAACAAAATAGACATTGGAACATGAATAAACAAGTTATTCTATACAGTAATGAAATGGTCACTGGAACTTGAATAAACAAGATATTCTATACAGTAACAAAATAGACATTGGAACATTAATAAACAAGTTATTTTAAACAATGAAAAATAAAACCTTGATGACTTACTTAAAATAATGACTTTTGATGCTTTACTTTTTCTAGGTATTAAAAACAGGTTTATTATTTCAAATTAATAACATTTTCAAATGGGCCTACTTTCCACATCACTGAAGACTTACACTACCTCCTACACTGTACTCGTTGATCTAAAAGCTAAAACAATAGCCTCTTTTGTTAATTATTTTTGAAGTCTAATTCATAAAGGAACTGTCCTTTGTATTGAAAACATCTTATTTATTCAACCTAACTTTTTTTTTGGGCTTTCTACAAATTAAGGAAGTTCAATAACATCCACAATAAAGAATATTTTATGTCTATGGCAATGTTATAGTCAAATTTTAATCATCAAGTATTTATATCACTGAATACATGTTAGAATGCCACAAGAAAAATAACAAAATAAAGGTAAGGTATGGTACTACAGATCAATATGGTTATTTTAAACCAAAGAGATTAAATTCAAGTGTAACTACATGAGTAATCAATAACTTTTCGTTGTACAAATATAAAGTGCACAATATTACTTCATACATTATCATGTTATATTACATGGGTGCAGGGTAAAATCATTTATATAACTTTGCTATTATTGTTAGCTCAATATATTTATGAAAGCAAGGCTACAGTAGACAGTTGATGTTCTTTTCATGCAAAGTTAAAATATTCATTTAACAACCCTACAGCAGTATCCAAACATTTGATAGAGAAGAAAAAAAAGATATATATATAAGTTGTTAACAACATTATAAATGTTCTTTCTGAATCTAAGTTTGCTTTCTTTATGTAAAGTATATAAAATTTGATAAATACTGGTGAAAAACAAATTTTTATCACATTTATAATGGCTTGTTCAAGTAAAATAATTACATTATGCAAAGTTGTTTAATTTGATGACTTAAAACTGAAGTACAATTATTAAAGTAATTAGTATCATTTTTTTCTAATGTGAAGCATTCAAAATAATTGAAGCATTATCTGTAGTCTGTACTTCAAGAAAAAAAAAATTGTTGATAGATGCCCAGCCAGTTGCCATCCCTAATGGTAGTTCAAAAAGAAAAGTTGGTGAGGGATTGCTGCCAGACATTTGCCTTCCCTCTAGTCAGCAGTTCAAAAATAGTGAGTATATCAGATATCTTCCTCACCTTTCTCTCTTGAAGTAAAAAAATAACTTATAAGGCTAAAATTGGGCAAAACACAAATAGCTTTTTATGTAACTTTGTGCTTAATAACAAACAAACATAATAGCAATATTTTGATTTGTTGGATAGTTTGAATAACAGAAAATAGTATAAGTTGGTATTGAATGCTGCCAGACATTTGCAATTACCTCTAGTCAGCAGTTCAAAATTTAAAGTACAGTGGCAGATAACCCACTCCCTCCTTCTGAATCATGAACTGAATCAATTTGATAATAATTTCAATTAATCAGTTATAGGAAAAAAATCAAAACCATTAATATTCATAGAACTAAATTCAATTATTTAATGATTTTTGTGACAACCAATTTAATTGTAATCTTATTGTTGTAATAGTTAAAAACAGAAACACTAGTTTTGATTATTAGGTTAGCTTATGTGACATCAATCAACTGAATCACTGCTCATAGTTTAATCAACTGCACCAATAAATTGATTAAAATCAGTCCTTTGTTTACTGGTATACTTACCTTCTAGAAATTATAAATTCATGCTTTTTAACAAGAATAAATTACACATATACACTGAGTGGTCACAAGTAAACAGACACCTAATTTTTCATCA